TATTAACTCTCCAGCACTGTGCCATAACTTGGTTCGAAGGGATCTTGATTCCCTGACTCTTCCACAAAATATCACACTGGTCCACTATATTGATGATGTTATGCTGATTGGATCCAGTGAGCAGGAGGTAGCAGACAGTCTGGACTTGTTGGTTAAGCATATGTGCATGAGAGGATGGGAAATAAATCCAACCAAAATTCAAGGGCCTTCTACCTCAGTGAAATTTCTAGGAGTTCAGTGGTGTGGAGCATGCAGAGACATTCCTTCTGAGGTGAAGAATAAGTTGTTGCATTTGGCCTCTCCCTCCACTAAGAAAGAAGCACAACGCTTGGTGGGCCTGTTTGGATTCTGGAGGCAGCACATTCCTCATTTGGGTGTATTACTACGACCCATATATCAAATGACTCGGAAGGCAGCTACCTTTGAGTGGGGCCTGGAACAGGAAAGGGCCCTTCAACAGGTCCAGGCTGCTGTCCAAGCTGCTCTGCCCCTTGGGCCTTATGATCCAGCAGACCCGATGGTGCTTGAGGTATCAGTGGCAGATAAAGATGCTGTTTGGAGTCTCTGGCAGGCCCCCATGGGGGAATCACAGCGGAAGCCATTGGGATTTTGGAGTAAGGCTTTGCCTTCATCTGTGGACAACTATTCTTCCTCTGAGAGACAGCTTTTAGCCTGCTATTGGGCCTTAGTGGAAACTGAACATTTGACAATGGGCCACCAAGTCACCATGCGACCAGAGCTGCCCATCATGAGCTGGGTGTTATCTGACTCCCCCAAGCCATAAAGTAGGATGTGCACAGCAACAATCCATTATCAAATGGAAGTTGAATATATGTGATTGGGCCTGAGCAGGCCCAGAGGGCACAATCAAGTTAAATGAAGAAGTTGCCCAAATGCCTATGGTTCCTACTCCTGTTACAGTGCCTCCTGTTCTCAAGCATGCACCTATGGCTTCTTGAGGTGTGCCGTACAATTGATCGGTTGACTGAGGAAGAGAAGACTAGGGCTTGGTTTACAGATGGTTCTGCACGCTATGCAGGCACCACTCAGAAGTGGACAGCTGCAGCATTACACACAATTTCTGGAAGAACCCTGAAGGACACTGGGGAAGGGAAGTTTTCACAATGGGCAGAACTTCGGGCAATGCACATGGTTGTGCATTTTGCTTGGAAGGAGAAATGGCCATAAGTGCAATTACATACTGATTCATGGGCTATAGCCAATAGTTTGGCTGGATGGTCAGGGACTTGGAAGGAGCATGACTGGAAAATTGGTGAGAAAGACATTTGGGGAAGAAGTATGTGGATAGATCTCTCCAAATGGGCAAAGGATGTGAACATACTTGTGTCTCATGTAAATATTCATCAAACGGTGGCTTCAGGAGAAGGTAAGTTCAGTAATCAAGTAGATCAGATGACCCAATCTGTGGCTAGGCAGCCTCTTCCTTCAGCTATCCCTGTCATTGCTCAATGGGCCCATGAACAAAGTGGCCATGGTGGCAGAGATGGAAGTTATGCATGGGCTCAACAGCATGGACTCCCACTCACGAAAGCTGACCTGGCTATAGCTGCTGCTGAGTTCCAGATCTACCAACAGCAGAGACCAACACTGAGCCCCTGATTTGGCACTATTCCCTGTGGTGCCCAGCCAGCAACCTGGTGGCAGGTTGACTACATTGGACCACTTCCATCTTGGAGGGGACAGCATTTTGTCCTTACAGGAATAGACACTTATTCTGGTTATGGATTTGCCTTTCCTGCATGTAATGCTTCTGCCAAAACTATCATCCAGGGACTTACAGAACGCCTTGTTGACCATCATGGTATTCCACACAGCATCACTTCTGACCAGGGAACTCACTTCACAGCCAAAGAAGTGTGACAGTGGGCCCATGGTCATGGAATCCAATGGTCTTACCATGTTCCCCACCATCCTAAAGCAGCTGGCTTGATAGAGTGAAGGAATGGCTTCTTAAAGACACAGTTACAGCACCAATTAGGTGGCAATAGCCTGGAGGGCTGGATCAGCGTCCTCCAGAAGGCTGTATATGCTTTGAATCAGTGTCCAATATATGGTACTGTTTCTCCTATAGCCGGGATTCATGGGTCCAGGAATCAAGGGGTAGAAGTGGAATGATTCCACTCACTATCACCCCTAGTGACCCACTAGGAAAAGTTTTGGTTCCAGAGAAGAGAGTGCTTCTACCAGTAGACACAACAAGCATTCTGTTGAACTGGAAGCTAAGACTTCCCCCTGGACACTTTGGGCTTCTGATGCCCTTAAGTCAACAGGCTAAAAAAGGAATAACAGTATTAGGAGGTGATTGACCCAGACAACCATGGGGAATTTGGACTGGTTCTCCACAAGGAAAGAGATTCCTTAGGGTGACTTTTGGTGTTACCATGTCCTGTGATTAAGGTCAATAGGAAACTGCAACAACATAATCCAGACAGGACAACAAATGTCTCAGACCCTTCAGGAATGAAAGTATGGGTCACTCTTCCAGGGAAAGAGCCAAGACCTGCAGAGGTGCTTGCTGATGGTGGAGGAAATACAGAATGGGTAGTAGAGGAAGGTAGTTACAAATACCAACTTGGGCCACATGACCAGTTGCAGAGACATGGATTGTAATTGATGTGGTTTTGTCCTATTTGGTTAAGAATAGGCTTATGCATATATACACATATGCATATATACATAGATACTTGTGTTGTTCTTTTTTGAATGTGTAATTGAGATAAGTGTTAAGTGGTTAAGTGTTGGGAACCTATATGGTCATATTGGGTTATGAGATACTAAAGGACCAAGCATTCCTCGAAGACCTTATCACCTACTCTAAGATATATAATTCATTGGTCATTGTATGATGGGACAGTCATAGCATGTTAGGTGAAATTATGATCTCACCATTGTTTTCACTTGAAAATTAAGCATGACATAGAGAGATGCTATTGGGTGTCAAGTTGACAAGGGGTGGACATGTGATGGCTAATCCTGGGTGTCAACTTGACTGGATCTGGGATTAACTGAAATGAAAGAGATCTTCTTGATTGGATCATCTGAAGCTGGAAGACATACCCTAAATGTGAGTGTTACCTTCTGATGGCAGCCCATATAAAAGGCCATGGCAAAGGAGAATGCTAGCTTTTTGCCACTTGCCTTCTCTCTCACTGGTGAGTCATCTTGCTGCTGTAGACTGAAGACTAGCCAATCTTTTGGAATTCATCAGACTTTCAGTGCCAGATTGGAACTACTGAAACATCCAGCCTCATGGACTGAGTGACTACGGAGTTCTCAGCCTCTCCAGTGTGGTGCAAACATTGTTGGACTACTCAGACTCTATCCTGTGAGCTAATCTGATAAATCCCTATATTATATCTAATATACATATACATATTAGATATAATATACATTCATTCTACTGGTTCTGTTTCTTTAGAGAACACTGACTAATACAGGTGATATGGAGGTAAGTAGGTGGGTCTATCAGAGACTTTCACACAAGGTCTGGAGTCATTCTGCCACCTCGTCTTAAGGAGACCAAGTCATCTCCTGGAGATGACCCTTGGACAAGGCAGGTGATCAGGTTACTGTTTCTCTCCCTGGTCCCCTGGAAGCCTACACTTCCCTTACATCTGGGTGACTGGGCAGGATGCAAGCACCATGGGCACCTGGTCATTACCTCAGTCTACTTTAGAAGGCCTCTACCCATCAGTCCCTATAAAAAGCATATGACCCATGTCCACCCTTCCCCACCCTCAGTCCCAACAAATACAGAGGCAAATGTGTATGACACGGTCATAAAAAGGGATTGTTCTGGTTCCTCTCCCACATCCCAAGGTGTACCTCACCCTTTCTAAATGCCATCCAGAGCCAGGATTCCGCCTATTATGCCATGTCCGAATCTTATAAAACCTGCCGAGATCTGGGAGCTCAATCTACAAGAAGAAATAAAAAGGTCTGTGTGGACAGAATCACAGAAGTAGATTTGTCCCCACAGCTGACCACAGCCAGGTGGGTACTGCTTTAAGCTGTTTTACCCCAGTAAGGATGGGTTTGCTTCTAGTCACACACATACTCCATTCTCTCATATTCCTGGTAATCAGTGGCACATGGAACCAAGACAGCTGTGTGCAACTAGAGTTCAGTCTGGGCTGGTAAAACTGAACAAAAATAACTGACCCACAGTGGGATCCAGCCCAGAGATCTTCCAGGAACAAAATCTATATGTCAGCCCTGAAAATTAGCACAGGCCCATAGCCCCAGGAATTTACTTGGCACTGAAACAGACAAAAAGATCAGTACAGCAGCCATGCTCTTTCCCCAGGGGCCCCTGTCTGGCAGAAAAGACAAATATATAAAGACCAATGAACTTGTGGTGGAATAGAGGCACCGGTGGGGTGCTCTTAGAGGACAGCAGCAAATTACAGATTATTCCTACCTAAAGGTCAAAGCAGAGCTTCTGAGAGGAAAGACTTGCTCTATTTACAAGTATACTGGAAAGTTTTAAAGTTACATTTCCTTTCAAATGCCCCAAAATTCAGGCTTCCTTAAATTTGATCCTTAGTCTCTAACACAGCCAGGGTGGACAGTCTAACACTAACTGTACTTGAGACCTAAGCACACAATTCTCCAAATTAGCCCACTCCTGAATCCTCCAAATAGTCCATATTGGCTTTGCCCCCTGGGCTTGGCCCTAGACTGTTTCAGACGGAAAGCCAGACCTAAGTTATACCTCTTTCAATAAATTGCCTATAAATCATCAAATTTGTCACTCCTTGTGGGAGTCTACTGTTTCCAATTACACCCTTTTGTCTTTAAACTTGGTCCAAAATCTGGCTTGGAAAATTGGAATCCCCATGATTTAATATTTTTTTCATCTCTTTTTCCTGTCTTCCTCCCAACCCATTCCATTTCCTCTTTCCTACCCTAAACTTCTCAATGATGCCTGGTTTGAACCATTTGTTGTTGGGATTCAGGAGAATCTCATCTGTCCGTCCCTTCTGCCCATAAATCTGGATGAAGATGGGCGAGTTGGTGCCGGCTTTCTTCAGATCAGTCGTCCAGACCCACAGGGACCAAGGAAATTCTACAATACATGTCAAGGTTTGCCATAAACTCCAAATGAAGAGATTTTCACATTGTCAGTGGAGAAGAAAGGGGAAAAAAACAACAACAAAAAATGATCAAGATGGAGGTTTATATACAAATAATGTCCCAGTCTCATAAACTCATTAAACAAATGCCAAATACAAAAAATAAGATGTTGGGGCTGGAGAGATGGCTCAGCGGTTAAGAACACTGGTTGTTCTTGCAGAAGACCTGGGTTTGAATCCCAGCACCCACATGGCAGCTAACAACCATCCGTAACTCCAGTCCCAGGGGATCCAACAGCCTCTTCTGACCTCCTCGGGCATTGCA